CACAAACAAAATGAATGTCCTCCGGAATACAACGAGGCTCACCACTAACTCTAAATCTCAATTTGGATGAATGAAAGGTCGCTTGATGATCCTGGTAACCTTCGTATGCATCTTATAAAGATGAAGGCCAACTGACATCAGTATATTTAATTTATGAGTACGCTAGCTTGAAAGTTAAACAAAGCATAGGCTTGAAAGGGAGTATGAATGAATACTTACCTTGGGTCTATTCAATTCATGATCTACTAACTCTTATTCAATATACGAAGTTAATAAAAATTCAATATGAAGAAATGCTGACTAAAAACATGCTTAAACCTCTATGTATATGTATACAAGTACACAATTATGTCTGCGATGTTTATAAACCAAAATATACTGATGTGTATAAAAATAATATTTACCTAAGAGAGATTCTCTAACCGACAACTATCACTTAAGAGCTACAATCATGATACAACGATCTACCGCATGCTGCTAGCGCATCCTATACCTGGCCAAAGGTATAAGACCTGAACTTCCTAAAGGATTCATTAGTAAAATGTGAAAATAAATCATCTAAACCCTTTTCTACCCATGGTGGATAATATTGTTTATGGGGGCTGTGAGTTATCTGAACTCTCCCCAATATCGCTGATCAATACTACTCCAAAAAATATATTGCATTGGCTCTTATGTTTAAAAATATACTGATTCTGTAGTTTGAGATTAGTGCTCGAAATTTATCTTTTTAAAAAGCTACCTTGGAAATCATAGTTTACTCTCTCTTCTATTAAAGATAGTCATAGGCTATGTGGAAGTCAAGTTTCCCTTACTTCTAAAATGTTTTAAAACATTTAGTTTAATTCCATAGCGACTACTTAGTTTCCTTATAACTCTTGAGAAATGAATAAAACTTCATACCTTTCTTACTTCAAACATTAACTCTTAAGGAATACTTAGTTCCCTTATCACTTTTGTGAAATGAACTCATCTTTTTAATCATTCTTGACTTGAACTTTAGGTCTTCAAAAAAAAGTGAAAACGTTTGTTAAAGACTTTAGGAAACTTGATAAATTTACTTTGACTTGCTTCCGAACTCCTATACTTGGATCTTACTTCCTTTACTTTCATCTTAACTTTCCTGTGATTGGATTATAGATTCAAGGATAATGATGTCCTGTTTATAGATGATTTCATGATGTTAATATGTACTCTTGACTGTTGGAATCAACGAGGAAAGAAGGGTACATCACGCAGGAACTAGAACGAAAAGATATGGAAAGAACGGGAACTCCAGGAGGTCATGGCTCTCTGAGTGGCGAGAGCGTCATATCCTAAAGGACAGACTTTGTCCTCAGGCGTTGCGCACCTGAACCTAACAGACAGACTCTGTCCTAAGAGGCTTTGGAGGAGCGGCGCCCCAACATATATCCAACTGGTTTTCCGACTATCTTCTTCGTTTTTCACCTCTAAACCTTCCCAAACTCCCATGGATCTCACTCTAAAAACCTAAGATAATTAAATAACTTATTATCCATAGCTCAGATCCAAAAATAGTCCAAGAACATTGATTAAAACTAACAGAGATCAACAACACTTAAACCAACAAAAACATTAAACTTTTCGTCAAGACCTACAAGATTTTCTTTCAATTAACTATAAATTTCAGTAATGAATAAAATTTTAGGATGAGTGAAAAAATCAAACACTGAATTATCTCACATACCTTATTCGGGATTAACCCTGATTAAATCCATGAACGAATTTTTGACGTTCTTATGTCTTCTTCTCTTTTGTCCTTTCTCTTAATGCCCTAGCTTATTTTATCAGTGTGTAAACTGAATGGGATCATCTTAGACCCCAACATATTACCCCAAAAAAGAATTTAATAATTTAGTAAAAGACCAAGACACCCTTAACAAATCCGAATTTGGAACATTCCCTACTCAACTACCAAAATTCTGAAAGTCATATCTCGCTCATACGACCTCGAAAATTCATAAACTTGGCATCGTTGGAAAGCTCTTTCGACTATATTTTCATTTATATAATGAATTCACCAAAACATCGCCTTAGATTGGAATTATGGTCATTTGACAATGAGCAAAACTCACTTTTGAAATCAGGAATATTTTCAGATTTCGTTACTAATTTCCAAATTTTATTCTTCTTTTTTTTCTTAGCTTAACCTTATTTTATCTAAAATACGAGATGTTACAGTAACGAAGTTTGGCATAGTTATTAGACAAACAAGTGCATTAAAAGATGTAACCGAGATTTTATGTGGTCATAAAAAATTCTAATTAAGTTAATGATTTTTTGTGTGGATCTCTATAGTATATTTGAGTTGTAAATGTGGAGTAGACCAATGTAAGCATTATTTATTTCCCATAAGAGTCTGGTCGAAGGGATCATATATAGACATTGATAAGCCTCATAAATAATCCTCAACTTTCTTCTAGTTAGGTAGATAGGAACTTAGAAGGATTGTAATAGTAGGCAAAGAAAGAGAAGTCATACTATTAACAATTAGATTAAGAGACTTTATAGGTCAATGCGGGTAACAATTACAGAAACAGTTCTATAGAAGTCGGAAGAGGTTAAGATAAGCATCTCACAAAGAATTCTAAGAAGGGATATTAGTTACTACACATGTATAGTTTAGTAACCATGCGATTAGCCATTTGTCAGTCCACCCATAGGAGACTCCCTTGCAATCCTAAAGTAGAAATAATGACAAAAGTGCTTTCATGAAAAAATAAGAAAGACCAAAGAAAAATGACAAACCTTGACCAGTGAATATCTTCAGTGTTTTCTTGTAAACATCTTCTTAACGTAGACAAAGATATTACACTGTGATAACAATAAACATACTCATTGCGGACAATATTATTAGTAGTCTAGTGGTGGATAAAATTTTGAACCAGAATAGATTGTATATTAACCAATTATGGTTAGTAATTGTGTAAATATCATTGTGCCACATGATACAAGACAAAGTGCTAATCTCTCATGTTAGTTTTTTTGATATAACATTGTAGGTTTATTACACTATTTTTATAGTTTAGCTAAATATTGCATAGTTTTATTATGAAATTTTTCTCACCCATTCATCAATATTTTTTATTTACATCTTTAAAATTTGATGACTCTTGAAGAAATTTCTGAATATTCAACTTTAGTCACCCCCAACTTGCATGGAATTGAGACATCGTTTTTATTGTATTCACTCATGGAAAGGGAACATCATTATAATGCATCTGCTTTTATAGATATGAAATGAATATGTAGGTAGTTTTCACAATTTATACTATATAATAATACAAAGCTTACTGCACACTACAGTACACGGAGAACCTTGAATGAATCAGTATGCATTCCATGCTTTTTAAAGTAAAGAAGAACAGAGAATGAAAATAATCATCATGAAAATAGAATGCACACAGGAAATAGGAATAAGGTACTTATATGGATTCCAAGACTAGGGATGCATTTTGTCGTAGTAGCATACAGATCCCGTTCCTTAGCAACTTAAATATTTCCCAGTCCACTCATAGACAACATTCTTCAAATCCTACCGTAGCAGTAACAACTAAAGGGCTTTCATAAAAATAAAGAATGACCAAAGAAAAATGACAACGCTAGACAAGTGAATATCTTTAGCGTTCTCTTGTTAACATCATCTTTCCATAGACAAAGATATTACAGTGTGATAACAAATAGTATACTCATTCCTGCTAATATTTTTAGTAGTCTAGTGGTGGATAAGATTTGAAACAAATTAGAGTATAAATTGACCTATCATGATTAATAACTTTATAAATCACTTTGTACCACAAGATATAAGAACAAGTGCTGATATTTTTCTTTTTCTTTTTTTGTAATCAAGAATTTCAAGAGTGCCATTGGCACATAGTTTAAAACTTGAAGGATAATTGGCCCGCCCCTTTATAATTTTCCAGTTAAATACATAGCTTTTGTCTATGTTTATTAATTGTGCGTAACGCCGATATCACATTCTATGCTCTTACCCCTAGACCAAAAGCCTAATCCTCAAAAGATAGTTCTTTTGTTCAGTAGAAGATGTTTTCTTATACTCCTGTAACAAGAGAAGGGGGAAAAACATAATCATACCCTTAAAATTTACGCGAGACTTGTCGCGATCATTTACCAAGTGCAGGATATGTAGAATCAATGCTTCTAGATGCAGTAGACTTAATGATATCATAAGATTCATGAGAAGATGCAAAAGGTTTTGATAAAGTTACTGGTAGGGAAGAAGTTCTTGTGGGTACAACTTCTGAAATCTCAATAATAGTACAATTCTCACTTGTGTCACACTGTCTTATGCAATTTGTTTCTTGTGAAGATGGCCCATCTAATATAATCGGTTGAGTTAAGTAAATACGCCGCATCCCCTTTTCTTCTTAAAAAAATTGTACATCACGTGAGACATAAATACTTTTATCTCCAAGATCATAAATTATGTATCCCTTTCTATTCAAATGTCCATAGCAAAGACATCCGAAATATCTAAAATGCTCATATGCAGGAACTTTACCAAGTAGTTTCTCATATGGGGTTGTATTTTTAAGACTAGAAAGACGCATTAAGTTAATTAAATATACCAGAATAAGTACATATTCTCCCCAAAACATGATAGGCAGGTGCACTTTAAATTGCAATGCACGAGCCACTTCATGTAGCAATTTATGTTTTCTCTCAACTACTCAATTTTGTTGGAGCATTGTACAACTACATTGACTTTCCATACCATAATGAAAATAATGTGACTTTAAATCCTCATGCTTAAACTCTAGACCATTGTCTCTTCATAGGATTTTGACTCGCAAGCTAAATTGTGTGTTTACCCAATTAAAAAATCGCAACAGACGTTCTTTAGTTTCTAATTATTCTTCATGAGAAAAACCCATGTAGCTCGACTGAAATCATCAACTATGTTAAGGAAATAATGAGACCCAGAAAGAGATTACGTCTTGTATAGTCCCCAAATGTCACAATGTATTACATAAAAAACATGTTCAATTTTATTAATACTAGAAGGAAAGATAATCGTGTTTATTTTGCCGTACAACAACATCACAAAACAAAGGCTTCTTTTAACAAAAACTAATCGATAAACTAGGAACTACAGAAATACGATTCATTGATATATTCCCCAATCGTTGATTCCATAAACTTGCACTGACAGACTTCTTCAACATCAATGCTTGCCCCCCTTCCGTTGGATCCAAGTATTAGACACCATTTCTCTCTATACCCACTCAAATCAGCATTCTCGAAGTTAAATCCTGAATCACAAAAGAGTACGGATAAAAGGTTACTTGACATTGTAAGTCATTTGTCAATTTGCTAACTAAAATTTAAATTAAGAAAAAATTAGGAACTCTAAGAAAATTTTCAAGAATTAATCTTTTTCCAATGGACACTTGGCCCAAGGCATGAACTTTCACCTTATCACCATTGGGGACTTGCACTGGTGGTAAAGCTGTGTGAACTATCTTGTTTGCTTGAGAACGTATATCATAAGCTATATTGTTCGTAGCACCCGTATAAACTATCCATTCCTCTTTTGTCTTACCTGAAAAATTAGAGGTTGTCATACTCACAGACGAGTTACTTGTGGATGCTCGATTATTACCCAGTAATAATTGTAGTCGTTGGTGTTGAGCATGTGTAAATCTTGGAGCTGCTGATATAGCCTCTTCAATAGTTGCTGCAAGAGCCATACCTGTGGGTGTGTTTGGTTCCTTTTTATTTTTTTTGATGCCCACGAAACTGCAGTTTTATTGATTTTCTTGTTGTTTTTGTTGCATGGTTTTCGCCAATCTGCAGGATACCCAATCACTCTAAAGCAATAATCTTTGGTGTAATTACTTATCCCACATTGTATGCAAGTTCGAAATTGATGTCGAACCCCATCCTCAACTTTTCATTGTCGTGATTCACCCTCTTTTTTAAGCAAGGTAGTTGCTTCAATTGTGGATATGTGATTTGCAGTACTAGATCTCTGTTTTCTTATTGTGCCATGAAAGCATAGGCTATTCCTATGTTTGGGAATGGGTCAACAATTTATATTTGAGAATGTATAGTTGAATATGTGTCGACAATTCCCATTAGAAAATCAAAAATCCTTTCCTCCTCTGAAAACAAATAGCATATTCATTCCTGACAATATTGTTAGTAGTCTAGTGGTGGATGAAACTTGAAATATATTAAACTTTGTATTGACCAATCACGGTCAGTAACTGTATAAATAACTTTGTGCCACAAGATACTAGACAAACTGATGATCTCTCATGTTAGTAATTTTGTTATAAAATTGTAGGTTTATAACACTATTTTTATGGTATAGCTAAATATTAAATAGTTTGATTAAGAAATTAAGGGCACACATTCATAAATATTTTTTTATTGACTTCTTTAATTTTGAAGACTCTTGAAGAAATTTCTGGATATGCAAATGTAAACACCTCCTACTTGCTTCGAATTGAGACATAGTTGTTATTGTATTTAGACACGATAAGGTAACATCATTATAGTGCAACTTTTTTTATTGACATGAAAATAATATTTAAGTACTTTTCACAATTTATACTACATAAGAATATAAATCTTACTGTATACTACTATATACAAAGAAGCTTTAAATGAATTGTCACGACCCAAATTTTCAAGTCGTGATGGCACCTATGTTCCCAACAAATAGGTAAGCAAACCCAACATATTAACCCAACTAAACCAACAAATGAGTAAAAAAAAAGACTAACACTTAGCAAGAATCTCCAACATTGAGTTCCTTATAAGTACGAAATGCGGAAGATAAAATATATCACCCAAGAATTGGTGTCTTATGTACAAGAGCTTCTAGAATACGATGCAAGTATGAAACTAAAATGACAAATCTAAATTAAGGGATATCCTGTCTGAATACTGAATAACAGAATACGTAAAGATAAAGGGAGGTGTGGGCCACGGAACAGCCAAGCAGCTCACCAAAACTCCAAGAACTTCAAGCCGGACTCAATTTTCTCCACGAGATGTGCTCCTACCCGTAATCGAATCTGCACCACAAAGAGTGCAACAAGCGCAATATTAGTACGAAACCATGTGTACCCAGTATGTCTCATTTACCGACAACGAAGAAGTAGTGACGGGAGTTTATAAAAAAAATTTGTACATTATATAAGTATGTATATATATATATATATATATATATATATATATATATATATATATATATATTACAGTCACTATTTAGGTTTCATCAATAAAGGTAATCAACATCAAGTATTTTCCAAATGCCAACCAAAACACATAATCATCAAATAAATGATGTGATGAAATGCAATGCAATATAACACCATGTAATGAATTGTCTCAGAATACCCAATACACACTCAATCGTATATACATGATACTCCTCGGAAATACATCGAGAGTTCATGACCCATGGGGGACTCGCGAGGTCCATATACCGACACAGACGATCTCCACGTGTCTGTGCGGACGATCTCAACGCACTATCATAATATCAAACAATTTTCGCACGGACGGTCTCCACATACCGAAATTACATTCTTAACATCTCACCATCACCAGCACGGACAATCTTCACGTGCCCAACTTATACTCAGTCTCATGTCTATGCATGTGCACACTATTATTTCAATAGAGGGGATGATAATGCATCTCAATCAATCAATATGAACATAATACATAACCACCTCAATTATCACAACTATACGGGTAAAATAAATAAAACACAATTACACAAGGAATCCACGTCAATAATATATCAGCTAATGCCCATATGCTTTCGCATTCTCAAATTTCAATCCACATTCTATAATAGAAATTTTCCTTTATATAACACCGGCACTCTTACCAATGCCCGTCACACCATTGATACGAGACCACCATTTTTTCCCCTTTACTCCATTGTCTATTTTGATTTTTAAATCTTTAATTAGGAAAACGTCCTTCAACAAGTCTAAAAGTCTTAACATACCTCAAGTGCCGAATTCGTGTCACGAATCTTCAAGATAGTTCCTTCCGTTTTTGCAAAGTTTCGTAATGTTCACGATCTACCAATGATGCAATATTCATAAATAAGCGAGTTTGTAGACATTCATATTATTATGTGCCTATCATAGACCCAAAAATTTTCACTCATACTTCTAATCAAGCATCAAATCTTTATATAATTTGTATGCCAAAATTATCGTACTTGTTAAATTTCAAGCCAAGAACTTATCTTTAACCTCTCCAAATATCCTAAAATTTAATGTTAAATCATATAATATATACCTAATAATTAATTATCTATCTCAATATATCAAAAACTAGTATCATAATTTAATAAAATAAATAAAATTAAGAATTAATTAAGAAAATCAAGAAACACAGTAATGCCGAGAACACGGTTTTTTTTCCTTTTCTTCAAATGGATACTGCCAAGTATCCTATTTCATTTTATTTTTAAGAATTATGAATATAAATGCATGAGAAATTCAATGTTCCAATGATTAAGTAATCATTGATCATCATTATCCCAATCAACCTATGTCACTTTTAATTTAATAAAATATGCATTAGTACTATCCTACAATTAAATCATCTGCACCATACAATTATATATAAACGTTAATTAATTCGGATAAGTTTACCTAGGAATTCAATGTTCGTCGCGGCCGTTTGGTGCATCTCGCCTCCAGGAAATTTCCAACTTTTATTATTATTTTTTTCTTCTAAAATAACCTAACTAATCTGTTTTAATTATATAGTCAAATGGTAAGGGTTATTAAAAAAAATAAATATGAATTTGACCAAATTGCTATTCAAGTATATTAATTATAATATAGATATATGTATCAACTAAGTACTCCTAGTTATCAAATAGTTTAAAATACCTGTTGAATTTTCAAAAGGAGTCGAACTAGTCCTAGTTCTCAAAACGACCTAGCGGGTCGTTACATCACCTACAACTTAAACAAACGTTCGTCCTCGAACGGGAAAAGAAAAGAGCTAACCTGAACGCTAAAAAAGATGAGGATATTTGCTCCTCATGTCTGACTCTCTCTCCCATGTAGCCTCCTCCACAGGACGATGCTTCCACTGCACCTTTACTAAAGCAATCTCCTTGGACCTTAGCTTCCGAATTTGCCTATCCAAAATGGTGATCGGCTCTTCCTCAAAAGTCAAATTCTGATCAAGTAACACTGAATCCCATTGAATCACATGATCACCACCGTGATGATACTTCTTAAGCATTGAAATATGAAATACAGGATGGACACTTGACAAACCAGGTGGCAAAGCCAACTGACACGCCACCTTACCAATACGCTCAACATTCTCGAAAGGACCAATATACCTTGGACTTAACTTGCCCTTCTTTCCAAACCTCATCACACACTTCATGGGTGAAACCTTCAATAAAACCCTCTCTCTAACCATAAACTCTAAATCACGACTCTTTCGATCTGCATAACTCTTTTGCCTACTCTGAGCTATGAGAAGTCTATTTTGGATCAACTTGACCTTGTCCAAGGACTCCCTCAACAAATCTATACCCCAAGGTTTAACCTCAAATGCATCAAACCAGCCAATTGGAGATCGACATCTCCTACCATACAAAGCCTCAAATGATGTCATCTGAATGATCGAATGATAACTATTATTGTAAGCAAACTTCGCTAAAGGAAAGAACAGATCCCACTGACCACCAAAGTCAATCACACACGCCCGCAACATGTCCTCATGAACCTGAATAGTACGCTCAGACTGACCATCAGTCTGAGGGTGAAAGGTTGTACTAAGATCCACCCGAGTGCCCAACTCTTTCTGCATTGACTGCCAGAAATTAGATGTAAATTGGGTGCCACGATATGAAATAATAGATATAGGAACCCCATGCAAACGAACTATCTCTTGAATACAGATCTTGGCTAACTTCTCTGAGTTATAGGTAGTCTAAACTGGTACAAAGTGTGCAGACTGAGTCAGTCGATCCACGATGACCCATATAGCATCAAACTAACCCAAGGTACGTGGCAACCCTACCACAAAGTCCATAGCAATGCGCTCCCACTTCCACTCAGGTATGGGCATCCTCTAAGTCACACCTCAAGGCTTTTGGTGTTCATACTTCACTTGCTGACAATTCAAACATCGAGATACAAAATCTACTATGTCCCTCTTCATACGACACCACCAATAGTGTTGCTTCAAGTCACGATACTTCTTAGTAGCCCCCGGATTAATAGAATACCTCAAACTATGGGCCTCCTGCATGATTAATCAAGTCAAATCACCTGTACAAGGAACACAGATACGACCTTTAATCCTCAAAACTCTTTCACTATCAAGAATTGCAGCCTTGGCTTCTCCTTTTAACACCTTGTCCCTAATCTTACATAAATCACCATCATCAAACTGTTGAGCCCGAATCTGCTCCAACAAGGATGACCTAGCCTCCATATAAGCCAACACCTTACAAGATTTTGAAATATCAAGTCTCACAAAGCTATTGGCCAAGGATTGGACATCCCTAGCTAAATAACGCTCGTCGACCTGTAACATGGCTAGACTTTCCATACTTACCGCCTTTCGACTCAAGGCATCTGCTACAATATTTGCCTTGCCTGGATGATAAAGAATAGTCATGTCGTAGTCCTTGAGCAACTCCAACCATCTTCGCTGCCTCAAATTTGGATCTCTCTGATTGAATATTTATTGGAGGCTACGATGATCCGTGAACACCTCATAATGCACGCCATAAAGATAATGCCTCGAAATCTTTAATGCAAACACAACAACCGCCAACTGTAAATCATGAATAGGGTAGTTCTTCTCATGAACCTTTAACTGCCTCGAAGCATAAGCTATCACCCTTCCTTTCTGCATCAACACACAACCAAGAACAATCCGAGAAGCATCACAATATACAACAAAACCCTCTCCCTCCACGGGTAGGATCAAAATCGGAGCAGTAGTCAATAAAATCTTGAGCTTTTGGAAACTAACCTCACATTCGTCAGACCACTGAAAAGTCACCTCCTTCTGTGTCAATCTAGTTAATGGAGATGCAATGGATGATAAACCCTCAGCAAACCGTCGATAATAACCTGCAAGGCCCAAGAAACTTCGAATCTCAGTAACTGAAGTAGGCCTGACCAAATCTCTAACC